AACCGAACTTAATTATAGAACCCGATTGAAAAAAAAATGATGTCCCATGAAGAAATAACCGGAAGATTTGTTTTTGCAAAGGTGAAGGCTAAGAGTAACCGTGAAGGGAGTGAATGGAATTTCAATTTTTGAAATAGTGGAGTGGACTTGTCCATTTGAGTCATTTAAGCGGTCAAAAACTGCCACACCAAGCAAAACTCTCAAATATTAGCCAAGCTGCCTTCAAGGTGGTCACACTCGCAGGCTGAGGAGATGTATCGGTTCTTCTCATCCTCTCGCCGACTCGTATTTTTTTCTTCAAGATCATCTCATCCAATCAAAATAATCGAACACCTGTCATTTGAAGCTGAAACTAGATGTCGTGTTGTCTGACCAAAGACTGAAAGCCCATGGGATGATCGTATCACATCGAAGCCGAAGACTGTTATCCTTACAGCTTCCGAAGTCGATTTGGTATACCTATGGATCAGATCATGCTTGGTTCCAAGCATTATCTGCCTTAAGGGCTTTTGTTTGTCAAAAGATATTGGGCCGCGATTCGTCAGCCGACTTTGACATCTTCCTGAATCCTGCTGGAATGTATGTTTGGGGACATAGATGATTGAGAGGCTAGCTACCCCGCCAAAACATTGCTGTCACGCTTCGTTTTGGGAGCACCAAGCACAAGCATCTTGTACGCATGGAATCCATCAAAGATATGAAATGTCAATTCGCTTGATCAACTTGAAGCTGAAAATCAGACCATGATCTCGAGACTTGAATTCGAGAATGAACTTCGAGACTCAGTTGCCGAACCAATCGTTGCATATAGAATCCATCAAGAAGATAAGACTTTTGGTCATCGTATACTTTGATGCTCCTAGGTGTACGCGTAGTATCGATCCACTAAATCAAAACCTGGCCTGGAAAGCTAAATTCGAGGATGAGGTTCGATCCAGACTTCCTCAACCGATTGGTGTCTTGAGAGGCGATCAAGAAGATAACCCTTCTGGTGATCATGAACTTTGTAAGGTGCTTAAAGGTTTGAACAGTACTTCATGAGACTCTAGCTGCCGATCATAAAAGGTCTATTGTATCAAAACACTCAACCAGAACATGGCTTCAAGACCTAAATGTGAGCATGGATTCGGAGCGCAACTCCCACAATCAAGGATTTTTTTGAGATGACATTTAGAAGATTAGACTCCCGGCCATCGTTCCTTGTAAGATTCTCAGAGGCGTAGACAACGCATGATGACATCGACTAGTATAGATGTCGATTGTAAAAGGTCTATCACACCGATCCAATCGATATGTGGAGTATCTGTGACATCTGGATCATCCGGAGCAGATCAAAACTGTCTTGATCCCACATCTCTGTGGGAAAGATGAAACAAGTGAAAGGAAAGCTCTAAAGGGAGGTTGACAAATGACCTATGAAGTCTTCTTGAGAATATCAAAGATGGGCACTACGCTATGATTTGCTAGAGCTCTTATTAAACCTTTGGTCAAAGAGTACATTGTCCCAGAGCAACGATAAATTGCAGCTGAGGATGGTTGATAAGAATTAGAAAGCTTGCTTCCAAACGAATTCCGCTATTCACTCATATTATTGTGAATTTGGAAGTCATCAGCACCCAATATGCGGGCAAGTTAAAGAAAGCAGACCTTCACAATCACCAAATGTGTATGAATCCACGTATGGAAACTCTGGGACGGCGGACGCACCTCAATGTATACATTTTCGGGGTCATCGAGTGAAGTTGTAAGGTAATGGGCACGCATTTCCCTACAATAAAATAATGTAATAGGCGATGCGGCGAGAAGAAGAAATTACGTACAGCTTCTGATTTATTATTTTGAGTACAAAGGGTAAAATAATGTATTAGCATTATCGTAAATGTTCAGTCGACATTAAAAATGCGACCAAGGTGATGCTGATCCTGGTCATTATTTAGATCGTAGTGATTGTATTCTTTACTCAGAGAGCTTTCCACAACACACCACACCGATTACGAACTCCACCTTCAGTTCCTTCCGCCTCATTTCAAATCCCATCCCTAAATCCCTCTCACAACCTCTTTCTTCACTTCAAAGACTCGTCTTGATCACAATGCGTCCTCCTGCCCTCGATCTCAAGAATTGTAGAGTCAAGAAAGTGTTCACTAACAATGTCAACAATGTCAATTCAGTGAGCACTGGTTTCTTTCGCTCACTTTTCGACCCCCTCTAATCCTTTCATCCTTTCCATTTTCACTTCCTGACTCTTGTTTCTTTTACCTTTCAAGGGCGCCGCTTCCGGTAGCGAGCGAAGCCCCTTGGAATTAGAATTTGGTGGTCTCTCCCCTGCTAGACTATCCATCTTTAACCTTGAGGAACCTTTACCATCCCCGACTCTCGAACGCCCCCTTCGCATCAGAAGAAGATCCACATCTTTAAGCGTTCTTTCTGGCGCAGCTGGTGATAATTCTATGGTATGTGCTGTTAACCCATTCACTTATCTGGATCAATCTTCTTTTCTCTTGTTGACATATCCTTTTCCAATCTTCTCTTTCTCTTCCTTGACATCTTTCCACTTTGAATTATTCAAGACTTCCAACCCCTCTCACATTGCACCAAGACCTCGTTTCATCTACTCCGGCCCACCTTTGCTCATGAACCCCGATGGTAGTGTCAAATCCCCTCATCGAACACCAAACCTTATCATCAAGAGCACTATCAAGAAAGTTTGCCCCCGAAAAACTTCCTTGAAACCATTGGTATGTGTTCCCAAATTCCGATTATCAATCGTCTTTCATTCAGTTATCAATCTTCTCGCATTAGTTACTTATTTCTCTTGTACCACTTTTCCCTTTCAATTTGTAGAGCGAATTGTTATCTGCACAACGCTACAGAGTGCTCTACACCATTGTGGAGGAGCCCGAGGAAGAATGAAGGGATAAACCCAAAGGCAAGAGAATGTTTGGGCGCAAGGTAAGATATCGGTATACTTTTTTTTTGAAATCGTTTCTAATCATTTTGAAAGGAAAGAGACTGACTAAGCCTTTTTCTTAATTTTCTCGCGGCCCACCCATTCAACCCGCAGTGCTCACTCTTCTGAATATGCCAAATCTCTTGATTGATCCTTCATGTGATGGAATATTTGATGAACATGTTATGTAATGGTGGTTTCATATTTTTCAAAATTAGGATTTGGATTTGGAATTAGGATTGGGATTTATTAAAATTAGGAATTGGAATCAGGATTGGGATTTATTAAAATCAGGAATTGACATTAGGATTGGGATTCATTAAAATTAGGAATTGAAATTAGGATTGGGGTTTATTAAAATTAGGAATTGGAATTGAAATTTATTTTATTGTCATCGTTTTTATAGCCATTGTATTGTGAGTATTGTGAGTATCTCAAAGATAGCGAGAACCTTGCTTTGTGAAAGTCTCTATCACACCTTGTTAAGCTATGGGCTCTGTATCAATTTCCAGTCTTCTCTTGCACCAAGATACCTGGTTGAAGCTGGATATCTTCTTCAAAGTTTTCTGCCCGTTGATTGAGGATAGAATGGTGCCTTGGGTGATACTGTCAAAAAAAAGCCACATAATTTGCCTCTTTCAAAGAGGTGGCTACTGGGAATACTTTCTGCACTAATAAGTGCTTTTCACATGCGAGATGTGGAAAAACAGCATGCCTCATTCTCTCTAAATCATGAAATACTAAGAGCAGTCATTGGCTCCTAACATATGGCTTTGGGTACTCGTCCTTTTGAGGCTCCCTGTTATTCACTTATGTGGCCTTGGATGTGCGCAAAGTGATTAGGGATTCAGATATCTCCTCAGCCCTTGTGAGGTGAGAGAGGCAAAGTGTTACTGTCTTCATACACTGGTCCAATAATTCAGGTATGATCAGCTTTTGCAATGACATACACATCAATGCTATGCTCTAGGGTAACTTTGTGTAGACTATTGAATGTCACAGGTGCCCAAAGGCACAACGGCACCTGTGAAGTTCCATACAGATCACGCTCACACCCGGTGACTTTTTTGTGGCCCAGGGCGTGGCCGGGGCGTGGCCAGGGCCATGGCCTATGCCACGCATGGCCTTAAAAACATGGCACAATTCAACAATTTATACACGTTATAATGCCACCATCCTTCATGATATTTGCCGCGAAGACGGAACAAATCCAACTCGCCCTCATTGGAGCACAGAGAACACAAAATCACACAGAAGGGCCAGGGCAACGGCCGGGGCCTCGACCGTATTCACTTCTTAGTCCTAAAAATTCCTTTTTTATACCAAGGGCAATTAGGTAGCAGGTGCATTTGATAGACACAAGTATGAAGAGGTGAAGGTGGAAGGGAACCTCATGAGCTAATTTTGAGTTTAGGAAGTAGCATCGGTCCATTGGGCCAATATCTTGTTTTGAGGCCATTGACCTGTCACTTATGGGGCCATATTTACTCAAACGGGGATTGACCTGGATTGACGTTGATGATTTGACTCTCTTTTGTAAGAAACCAAGTCTTCCAAAGGTATTTATTCAACTGTGATAGATTGGCAAACATGATCATGATCAAGGGACATCTTTCTTGTGACCTACTCCAGTCAAAGGTAAAATGTAGGAATTCCAAGGTGGCTGAATCCTAGGTTGGGTAGCTAGTGCACATTGCTTTTGATTGCTAAGAACAACAGATTTGATCAAAAACCCACAAGGAATGCACACAGCTCTTATTTGGATTCCATATTGTTGATTGATCAAGTAGACTAAAACTACAAACCAAAGCAAGACAAATTAATGCAAAAGTGAAACAGATACAACAAGTCTATTTTAGGTCAAGATAAATAATGCTACAAATAACTTGTAACTGATCCACTGGATAGATATTGAGAGATGTAATAACTAGAATAAAAATGATACAAGCTTAAAGAAAATGAAGGCCAATGAAAAGTACAACAAACTATATCTAAAACAACCTGAGCTTCCAAAGTATACTTTGAAGTATAATTGATAGCCTTAAGACTTTCAATGTCGGCTTTTAGGTGCACTCCTTGCACTGGTCTTTAGATCCTTCATTATTGGAGCAGAGATGCTATCAATAGAGATCTTCTGTTGCCAAGTTGGGCCAGCATTTGGTCCACCAAAACTCTTCACCATAGTTTTTTGAGGCGGAGTGAAGTGTACAGATTGAATGGCACAGTTTGAGGCCAAGTAGGATCTGGGAGAACCAAGTGTGGTGTGAAAATCACGGATATAGCTTGGAGATGCCAGGGAGACTGCAGCAAAATCTGGGGACAAGCCCAAGGAAGCAAGAGGTGGTGGTGATCCTCCAAACGGTGAAATCATGGACTGGCCGCAATTGTTGCTGGGGAACCATGGGCTGCCTAACACACCCACACTGTCAGGGAATTTGGAAGTTTTGCTGGCAAGGGGGATACCGGCCTTCACTTTGACATGAGTTGCGATGGGTTCTTTGAGATCAAGGGTCCCCAGCCATCCCGCTTGGCATGGAGGCATAGGTGGAGCCTTGCCACAGCACTAAAATTCCATAACGTTCCCGTTGTCATCATCTTTGTGATCAAGGTGAAATAATCGACTCATTGATTGGGCAATACTATCACCGCGACGTCAACGGGTATCATTTGGAGACTTGGAAAGTCCGGCAGAGCTAGTACTGGCACGGATCCCACTTGGTTTGGGGGGAGGCGTGCTCATCTGCCAGTCTACCAAGTGGTATGTGGGTGGAGGAGGTAGATGTACCTGTTGAAGATTATATACAAAAACCATCAACTCTTGGATCAATGCACCCTAGTCTTGACAACAGTTAGTACTCACAGTTGAGGATTTTTTTTCAATAGTTGATCCCTGCTGCATGATTGGGTGTGGTTGAGCAGACTAAAGAGACAGGGGTGTTCTCTCTGCTTGGTGGAGACATAGTTGCAGCGGTTTGAGAGGCGGGGAATAGAAATGAATGTGCAAAGTTCATATTGAATTTTTTGTTAGCAAACTGGAGGTTATGATGAGAGTCAATTTGGTATGGAATGATTGTGATGCAAATGAATGTCAGCAAGGGTGCCACTATACTATACTGATATGAGTATAGTTGGGTATATTATAATTAAAGGAAACTACTCGGGCCACACTCATCTTTGCTACGGCCACACTTCACGTGACTTGGCTACACATACTACATACATGTATTTACTAGCCTTCAAATTCACGTTCCAGATCAATAATCCAGGGAAAACCAACACAGCCATTACCACCAACACAATCTCTAAAACATCAATTGGACATACAATGAATGCTTGACATGATTATTTCATGGAAGCTGAAATGCTTGAATAACAATTACAAACTCTTGAAGAATCTAATCTGGAAGTTCATCAGCGTAATAATGCTGGATTATGCTCACAATCACCATTGACTTAAATTGAAGGAGTCTGCAAATCGACCCCAAGCTTTATTTTTACTGTTTACCAACTACTTACTCAAGATATGAACTTGTGTTTCACTATGTAAGCTTAACAAAGCCCCTCACGAGCGCATTTTCCGCGCCCTCGAAGAGGCCCCCGTGAACATGTGCAATTAAAAACAATCATATGATCACTTGGATCCAGTCTAAATCTTTACATTCTTCTATTCCTGAGAAATCCTGGGGTGATGTGAAAAACTCAGCAAACTAATCAGTGGTCTTGACTAAGTGTTTGATTCCCTGCCTCACTCCCATACCATCCAACTCAAATTGACTTTCCAATAACCTTCCTCAAGGTCTCTTGTTACCTACTGTCTCGCATCACAGAAACAAATCATTGTAACCAACTCGATATAAAATGCATTGAGCAATCATGATCCAACCTGATCAAACATGACTGTTCAACGATTACATTTAAATCATCCCTTTTCCACCTCACTCTTCCGGCTTGTTTCCCAATCCTTTGATTGTCAAAGAAAAGAAAATGCACGGTTACATGTAGAGTGGTTAATACCAAAATTCTAATACGGAATACTTGTATGTATGTGTAGCCAAGTCACGTGAAGTGTTCCCGTAGCAAAGATGAGTGTGGCCTGAGTCGTTTCCATAATTAAATTGTACTATACTATACTCAGTATAGTATAGTTGAAACTATACTTTTCTCAACTGTACTCAGTATAGTATCAATTGATCAACTATACATGGATCAGGGGTTCACAAGTTTTCCATCAGCATGTTCAACTATACTGCACAGTATAGTATAGTATAGATGAGTTTAGTTGTACTATACTATAGCAAGTATGGTTCAAGTACAGTATAGTTGAACTATACTATACTGAGTATAGTCACAGTATAGCATAGTATAGTATAATGGCAGCCTTGATGTCAGCCATACTTTTAAAATAATAGTGTTATCAAGAAACAAAGATGGAATGGGTCTACAAATAGGCAGGATAAAGGGAGAGAGGAAAGTTCAAGAGCTTAATGATGAGATTAAATAGAGTGCTTTGTATTGTAAGCAGGTTTTGTTTTTGCAAGAAAAATGTCAAGCAGATCAAGGATTGAGGTTGATTTGTTGATAAGTTGTGGATGATTTGTCCAAGATGAGAATAAAACAATGTAAGGTTTAGGTAATCCTCCCATTCAAAATCTTTCTTTCTGAATATTAGTTCAGAATTAAGCAGGCACCAGGAACCATCAAGCCATCTATAAATTACAAAGACGAGGTGGAATCAATATTCCATGCAAAGTGCATAATCTTCACTCAGGGTTGATTTAAACTGGTATCACATTCCAAGGTCAGCATCAATCAGCCCACTCTCAGTTCCACATATGCAATTTTGAATTTTCTATCTGTGCTCTGAAGAAGGGAAAGTTGAAATTATGTCCCTGATCAGTGATACCTTGCATGATTGCTGATCAATCAATCTTCATATCCTGACCAATAAAATTTGATCAGCTGTCCAAATTTGAAAGCCAAAAAAATTTATGTGTGAAACTTCAAGGCACATGTCATCCAGAGATCCATACTTGACATTGAAATAGATGCAAGACCTTCTCCTCATTGCTTATGTACACTACATCAAAATGATTCCTTATGATGCCGTAAAATGCAAATGAAGGCAGATGTAAGATATGGCCTTTTTATTTGAGGTACAGGTTTGATGATCAATCAACCATGTCAAAAGTTGATACAAGGTCCCAAAATCAAGTGTTCATAGCCCATATTTCTGCCTGAATTCCCAAATCAAAAGCTCAGTCCAATCAGTTCAACAAACTCTTCATAAACAGTTTTATCCACTTATTCATGAACTCTGTAAGAGTAAAATTATCAAGGTTCCTTAAACCTTTTTGAAGGAATTTTGATTACATAATTGTGCTCAACTCAAGAGGATTTGGGCCAGGTAATGCACTTGGAATACAATCAATTAAAAAGCGGTTAGTCATTGTGTCATACCATCATCAAGTGTTTTGGTATGCTGCCAAGTATGTGATTGTCAACCTCATAAATCAGTCCTAGCCAAGATATCACTCTTGAATTAAAACCCACCCACATCACTTGATGATCACTCTCATTTTCAATGAGAATTTTTAGATTATCAAGCTCATCACTCAAAAATTGTGAGCTCTCAAAGCTCATTGATGCACAATGACTTCTATTTTCCCCTAATAAATAATCCTTTATCATTCAGTTGGGAAAGCTCACATTCAAAGAATTAGGATAGGTTGGTCATCAATTTTTTTCAAACAGTGGAGAATAACACTGGCTATCAAGCACATATTGACTCATGATATACACTCCCGGCATATTTGGCTTGGAGGCAAACGTCGGAGGAGTTCTCAGATGGCGCCTCAAGGAAAAGGGTATCTGAGGGATACCTCTGAGGCAAATTTTGGCCCTGACCCTTGCCTCGGATTGTATCCTTGCATGGAGCTTCACTTGGAGTCAAAATCCAAGGACTCCTTGACTTTTTGCCTCCAAGCCAAATATGCTGGCTGTGATACTCACCAGGTAAAGTCAACCAAAATAACAAAAAGTCATTTTTTCAAAAATCAACATTGTCATAAAAGTGTTGATCTGGGAGTCCTTGGGTGTAGTCTACTTCTTCAATGATAAAGAACATGTTCAGAAAGAACATGAAATACACAGAACTGGTAACACTGTACACAGAAGCACATTGAGAATTGTCTGAAGATCCAAATAAAATGATTGAAAGCTTCAAATCTTTCAATAACATTCACAGGATTGGAGAGCCTGGCAAATTGGAATTATATGATCCTTGCTTCAATCTTCAACCTCTCTTCAATTTACACATATCCAATCAACTCGAGATATTGTTATCATTTGGGTAAATATCTTCTTGAAATACCTTCTTGGGTAGATTTGAAAGTCAAAATTGCTATCAAAGATCAATTCTTGCAGATATTGGATAATTTGGAGTATATACAAAAAAACAATATGACTTGGCCTAGAGTAGTCTATGTCAAATTATAACCAGTTTAATTAACAAGTGCAATATTTCTAAGAACAGCAAGATGACTTTGAGTGAATTGATATCACATAGAGCCTTTCTTGGTATAAGAAGCTTACAATCCTTGGGAAATTGGTAGATGGGGAGTGTTACACACTACATGAATCAGATGAATTTTCCAAATTGGCTGTATAAAAAAAGAACAAGTGCATTTCTATGATTTCTGTGATGTGATAATCTCTGAAACCTTATGCATCAAAGGTGGTTTCTTTTGGGGTGTGCAATCATGAAGGAGTGACAAGCCTAAGGCAGTCCGTCAGAAAGAGATATGCTTGTGCCGTGGTGTTGGCAATGTTGCTACCATCCTGAGGCAGTGATTCTGAGCCAATAGCCGCACTAATTTTCTGTACAATTTTTTCAATTGAGCAGAAATAAAGAATCCGGAATGGATTTGAGAAAAATGGATTCAACACAGAATCCATTCCGGATCCTTTATTTCTACTCAATTGAAAAAATTATTCCTACAGGCTGGATCACAGGCTATCACAGGTCCTCAGTGAACCAATGAATGTTTCTCAATCACACACATCACAAGATTGAGGAGGTAGTTAAACCTACCTACTAAACTATAAAAAGGTGGAGAGGTGATTTCCAACAAACACCTCAAATCAGTCAAGTTGTTTACCCATCTGAGCTTTCAATATTTGTTCAGGGCGCAGTGAACAGCGAGAACAATAAAACTGAGCAACCACGCTAAAGAGGACGACTCATAAGCATGAGAACAGTTTGCAAAATCTCTTTTGATAACATGAGAGCTTGAGATCTGCTTTTATGAAAAAGTCTTGGATGGTTCATAACCTGATACAAATGTGATCGGTGTTGAAGGACAATCAAGACCAATGTCAAGAATGTAATTAAGTGTGAAAGGTGGAAAGAGATGACATGGTTTCTTTATTATATTTATCTTGTCTATGAGTGATCTAACATTATGTTGTCCAATGTTTGTTGTTTGTTGTTATTTTTCCCAATCAACATTAGCGCTGATCTTTCCCAACATTTTGTGTTGAAGTTACTGAGATATATATGTTATCCCTTCCTCCCATCCTAATCTCTCTTTCCTCGTCTACTGGAAAGAGAGTAAGCTTTCTATTACCTCTTAATCAGTATTAGTACTAATATTATTGCTATAAAGAATCCTATAGATCACTCAAGCCTTTTCTTATAAGCTCATCATTTTAATTCTTGTCTCATCTTTCCTCCATAAAACTTAGATTAGTTTACCAGGTCTGCATACCTGTGTGTTGGAGAAGAGTGATGAATGTCAAGCACTATCTTATTAGGTACCCGTTTCTCTAGCCAATTACAATTGGGTATAAACCTGAAGCTGTGGAATCAACAGCCACATTAGATATGTAATCAGTAGAATTTGAAACATTCTTTGGATCAAAAGGTTGTGTTACTGTCAATCAAGTGCCTCTTAATGTCCTCAGGGTGTTGGTGATGATGGTCAAGCTCTACTGTTTGTTGAGATGATCTTTCCAAAACAAATATCATGCCTTGGCAAGGTGCAAAATTTAATTTGAGGCAGCATTCTTTGTTTCTCCTTGCGTCCTAGACAGTACAATGCAAATAAATGAATCTTTGTGGTTACAAGATGGAATGGAATAATGTTTTCAAACTCTCTGAGATAGAAAGATCATTGGTTGTATAGATCTATTGATGAAAAAAGTTGATGACAGGGTGATTGTGATTTATCTCATCAAGCTGCTCTGTACTGTTATATGATGTTGAGATGGGGAAACAATAGAGAGTAGAAAAAGAACCAAGATTGGTGAAGGAAGTAAAGTTTCTAGACAAATTGAACAAAAGTGGAGAGGTTCTGATTTGGGATGGGTGTAATGGGACCCTAAAGTTCATCTGCCCCCTTGGAAAATGGTCCAGGAAAACTGACATTTTTCCCAAATAGGAAATCAAGAACATTGCAAATTTATACATCACAGATAAAAGTAACATCGTCAAGTTCATGCAGGTTTTCATTGACTCAGGTTTGTTGGTACATACACAAAAAGGGAATTCAAGTATCAGAAGAGTCAGGCTAGGTGAATAGAAAAATAGAGTGAATTTTGAATCAGAAAAGATCACAACACGGTAAATGAAGATCGAACTCACTCACCATGTCAAAATCATAATCATCATAATAAGGGTATATGGTGGCTTTGACATTGACTTGTTCACAATGATTCTTCAATAAAAGTATTTGATCCTCAACTTCTGGATCGTGAGGGTCAAGATCGGGTCCCGGACAACCACGAAGACACAGTTTTTTGAGATGAGGCCATGTGCCTTCAAACAGAAGCCTATTTAGTGACCTACAATACTCTATTGTCCAGTAGGTCCACTCAAGATAGCATAAAGATTTACACTCTCGGAAACTGGTCAGTAAGTGTGCGTCCCCACTGTCAAGTGTCAGGTGAGTCAAAGATGGAAGATATAAAGGACAACGAGGACTCCCACTAGGATCATCTTCCTCGATGGCATCCAAGCTGAGATTGAGCTTTGTCAGGTGAGGTGAGATGTGATGGATAATTTTGAGCGCCAAACTTGGCAACAAATCACCATGATTGTAAATGTGAAGATCTGTGATTGTTTTTGGCCAATTGTAGAGACACCAATTTTCATTTATATCTTCATTAAACCCTATGTCCAGCCGTGATAAATATTTGAGTTTGGACAAATTGAATCCAAAGGAACTGTCACGGATGATCTCTTGATTTCCAGATTTTGAGTAGCGACGGACCCTGAGCGACTCGAGTAAGGGTAGTCTATCAACAACTTTTGATGGAAATCCCTTGATGATTTCAGTTTCAGACTCCAATGACAAATGGGGCCCGAGATTTTTACAGACTACGATTTACAGACAATAATGTCTGTAAATCGTGATGTCTGTAAAAATCAACTTTCTCCCGGAGAAAGTTGATTTTTACAGACATTCTCAAAGGAGGAATGATCGCAAGGGAAAATGGATGTATGATATCGACTGCAAAATTCTGCGGTGGGTGTCCAAAGTCGAATTTTGCGATTCTTATTTCGAAGTTTTTGCAGACGTTAATGTCTGTAAGGAAAAAAGATGCGTAAAAGTCAATAAAGTGCCTTTATTATGCAAATTTGCAGAGCATCCATCACAGACGTTTTGTTCCGTAAAAAAGGGTGTCTGCAAATATATTTCTCACGAGGGTAATATTGAATTTTACAGCTCTTATTCCGAGCATAATATGACCAAACCAAAAGTCAAAGGAGTTGGACTTAGGATATCAAGAACGTTATGATATCATTAAGACACAATATCCTAACGGGAAGACTTGTTCGAGAAGACTCCTTCAGATCATTCCAAGTCGTTCTTAATCAACGTTCTCCATTCCACATTACCTTAGTGAACATCCAATCCCCATCTCCTCCATCATAAACATTAACAACATCATGGCAATCCGTCCTAGGTGGTGGTTAAACCCCACACCTGAAGAGCTCGCCTGGTTTAACAGCTTATCACCCCGCTCCAAGTCCGAAATCTTTCCTTGGATCATCACCGCAAGATCCCATCCAGGCATCCATGACGGATTGGACCAATGCTTTCGCTGTGGCGAGCTCGGCCACAGTCGCATCACCACTGGATGCATCAGCACCAACCCGTTCCCTCGTCAACCCCATTTCGACACTTGGCGTCGAGCGAGCAATGGAAAGACTTACACCGTGGACATGTTACCCCCATTTCGACACTTGGCGTCGAGCGAGCAATGGAAAGACTTACACCGTGGACATGTTACGCATGACCGACGCTGCTCTCGCTACCCAAGCTGCCCAAGCTGCCGAAGCTGCTCTCGCTGCCCAAGCTGCCCAAGCTGCCCAAGCTGCCCAAGCTGCCCAAGCTGCCCAAGCTGCCCAAGCTGCCCAAGCTGCCCAAGCTGCCGAGGCTGCCCAAGCTGCCCAAGCTTTCGAAGAAGGTCAGTTGAATGAACTCTCCTACCTACGTTGGAAACATTAGACTGGGGCTTACTTGCGATGATTAAACAGCGATTGAAGCGCCAATCACATTGTCTTCTGACGATCTCGATCTCCTTGACGCCATCGAGGAGCAAGCTGCTGGTAAGCGCCTTCCTCTCTCTCCTTACCTAACGGAATTCCAATCGTGACGCCTGCAATTAGCCTCAATGGCAAGTCAAGCTGCCACCGAGGGTAGCGGAGGAGCCACAGAGCCCACTCATGACGAGTCCAACACCAACAACAGCCGTGAAGGTTCAACCAGTCGTGAAGGTTCAACCAACAATCACGAAGGCCCAAACATGACTCAAGAGTCCTTCCATTCTTTTACTGTAGAAGGGACGTGTAAGTTTATCATTTCATCAGTTATCAGCCATTCACACAGGATGGCTGATAACCAATCCTTCGATAGCCACGGTGGCCAGTCAAGAGCCCAGTCCAGGGCCAAGCATTCCTGGGAACATAGGTGCTCAAGCGTTGCCAAACATGTCTCGTGAGTGTATTACATTTGGCTTTTTCCTTCTACAATACTCATGAGATCACTCCATTTGGGTGGGCTAGGTGGAAGGCGCGCGCAAACCCTACCTCCTGGTTTGTAGGTACAAGCAAAGTCTTGTTTGCTTTCACCGAAAGGTACAAGTCTTGTCCAATCGATCGACACAGAATGTATTTCTATTACGAAGAGGAACTAAGAAGGGGAACTAAGAGGAGATGTGATATTATTATAGACGGAAATATCTAAACCATTAAGAGGAAGCAGGTGGAGGAGGGTACTGAATTGATATAAACGGAAATATCTTGAAACTATTTTGTGTCTTTTTTTCTTTTACTTTGTACATCTCCCCAAAAGCTAGGGAATGATATCACCAATGTTGAATTCTAAGTTTTCCTACGCTTAGACTTCCTTCTAGTACCACTAACCGCCGACTCTGGGCTAATGACTCCCGTTTCGGCAGGGTCAATGGGCACAAGCTCCCAACCCTTCCAACCTTTTTTCGGAACAACTGTTGCACAACAAACATGTAACAAGCATGTGAGCCACGAGCAACAACTAAAAGAAAATGATTGTGAAAAACTCACCGGGTTTGGTTTCTGTAATCCCCTCCGCTAAAGCATCCTGTGCTTTTGAATTGGCCTTGCGACGTGCTTTGGCCTTGGCTGTGATGGGTGGTAAGACCATCAGTATGTCATAAAAAAGTAACAGGCAAGGTGTCAACACTAACCTTTCTTTATTCGTCGTTGACTGGATGTCGCGCCGGTCTTGCTTTCATCAGCTGTTCCTTCCTCCCCATCCTTGATCGCGTCTTTCTTTTTGAGGGCCTTAGTTTGGTTGTTGGTGTTACCTACTT